AAACAACAACAACCATATCAACAAAAACAACAACCACTTCAACAACCACATCATCAATAACATCAACAACATCAACAACATCAACAACATCATCAACAACAACATCAACAACATCATCAACAACAACAACAACATCATCAGCAACAAAACAACATCAACAACAACTAGCCACTAATACTCACAGATGATTGGACATGCACAATCGAAAACTCGTGCCCGGCTAGTAATGCGAAAAATTATTGGGAGAACAACATCAACAACAACAACAAAACAATAAGAGCAGCAACAGTAGCAACAACAACGTCAACAAAATCAACAAAAAAAATCAACAACAGCAAACACTAGACTTTCTAATAACAACAAATAACAGCCAATGCTAAAACAACAACAATGTTACTACTTTTATTACCATTAACAATATTGTTATTACTGCTACAACTGCTACTACCACTACCACTACTACTACTACTACCACCACTACTACTACTACTACTGCTGCTGCTGCAAAAGCAACATCTTTAAACTTCACTAATAATATAAAATATGTACAGAGCACTAATGTTACAACAACGTTAACGATAAAATGAATGATTGTTAAGCATCGTGATATTGATGACGATGGTAATAATGATAATTAGGATGGTGATGACGACGATGACGATGACGATGATGATGGTGGTGGTGATAGTAGTGATGACAATGATGACGACGATGATGATGATGAGGACAGTGAAAAATGCGAACGCATGCTACATGTATGTAACTGGTAATACAGACATCTATAAATAGAGAAATAATGTTGATGATGACTATGATGACGACGACGATGATGATATCGATGATGATGATGATGATGGCAACGACAATGATGATGATAACGATGATGATGGTGATATAACAATTAAGATTAAACATCCGACAATACGGTGATAATTCTGCTGTAGATGAGGTTATTGGTGATGATGATAGTTTTTGTTGTTGATGATTACGATGATGATAACGATGATAACGATGATGATTATGATTATGATGACAGATTATGATGATGATGATGATGACAGATGATGATGATGATGACTGATGAGAA